CTATATATATATATATATATATATATATATATATATATATATATATATATATATATATATATATATATATTGCTTGTCGAAGTTAATATTTACTCACTCAGAAAATAAAATTATTTGACGTATAAGTTAGAGAAATTCAAATATTGGTTGATTAATTTTTTTATACGATCGAAAATCCGAGTATTAATATAATGCACATAAAATTACATATAAAAGATATTTGTCTTAAGCCTGATTTCACCGACGTCGATTGGGCCTTAATCTGAGTTCATGTCTTTGTTTCAAATAGTTTAACGCCGTTTAAGGCTTGATCGACGTTGGTGAAATCGGACTTTAGACTATTACTTATCAGATAGACGTTTAAAACAATAAAAAATTGTTATATTGTATGCGATATTTTAATCTCGAATTTTCCGCAAATATCAAGAATTTTTTATTGTAAACATCATTATCTCGTCGCGTATTATACATATATAAACATTTTACAGAATTATAGTTTTTCATATAATCTGTCGATGTTTGGGTTGTCGAGTGTACATATTCCACAACTGAAGTCTAACACATGATTGGGGAAGAAAAGTAGAATTTGCTCTCGCGTCCAATGCATATATAAAAAGATATTGGGTAGTAAGATATCGATCATCTTATCACCCGTTTTGATCCTGCAGATAATAATTAGTTACATATCGTTGCAATAAAAGACAAGAGTGATTTGTGAGGATTATTCAATCATAAGATTCATTGCATTCGAAAAGGACATTACAAATTATGAACTTGGTTCACTCTTGTTTTAAACTCTCTATTTAAAGTCTCTCTATTTAAACTCTCTATTTAAAGTCCGATTTCACCAATATCGATCAAGCCTTAAACCGCGTTTAAATTATTTGAAACAAAGGCATATGCCCGTATTCATAGTCAGGCCTTATATTTAAGGCTTCCTCGAGTTTATTTTCAGATGCTCTGTAGCCTATAAAATGATCCGTAGAACATCTGAAGATGAACTTGAGGAAGTCTTAAATATAAGGCCTGACTATGAATACGGGCATTAAACTCAGATCAAGACCCAATCGACGTTGGTGAAATCGGGTAAGTGATTTTTTATTACTTACTTTTTAGTTCCCATTGTATGAAATACATTATCAGATTGCAGTTGTATAAACGATGTACCATTATATAAATTTCCTCCATCCTTGCTGGCTATGATCCGTGTAACTCCTGATTCGTCAGTTAAATTGACATTAATTCCGTACATACCATTAGTTGCTGTTAATGCTAGTCTAGGATTCTCGTCGTAACATTGCCCAAGTAATATCACTTGGCTATTTTCAGCAAAGGTATAAATTATATTATATGCCGTCTTGATCGAATCTGATGTTATAATACATGTGCCTAAAATAATAAGAAAATGTTAGATGATACAATTAGTGACACAAATTAAGTCTTAAATTTAATACTTAAATTTAAGTAATTATTAGGCAGGGTTTACAGTGAGAACTTGAGCTTTAAGTAAGAAATTAACCAATCATAATTAATTATTT